GAGTCCAACAGGTCGGGGAGCAGCTGAATACAAGACAGTCAAAGGAAAGAAGAAAAGACAAATGTCCACTGTGGTCCTGTCCTCTTTGAGCAAACAGGCTCTTATTGTGGGTGCCTAGAGCATCCTGAAAGACAAAGTAGCCTGTTTCTCGATGCAGACAGAATGCTGAGGGGCAGTGTGGGGCAGTAGGAAGTGAAGACATGGCTTTGGAGTCAAGCAGTCGGTTCAAAGTCTGGTACCTCGCTCACTCGCTTGTGACCTTGGTCAAGTGTCTTCATGTCCTGGGTTTGAACTCTTTAATCTGTGAAATGAGGATAATAATTCGGTAATTCTCATATGGTTGTTGCAAAGGTTAAGGGCAATTTAGGAACTGTGGGCTCTGATTCCAACTCCATCTCTGACATATTGGGCACTTTTTTGGGGGAAATTACAGGGCCTCTCTGAGCCTCGATTTCCTAGCTACAAAATGGGAGAAGAAGTAGGACTTAACCTTGGGAGCCAATCAGACTTGATTTTGAGCCTGACATCGCCACTTAAGTGCTACGAGACTCTGGGAAGTTATTTAGCCAAACTTGAAGCGGCCCAACTAAGGGGCACAGTGTAAGCACAGGCCCATGACAGGTGCTGTATTGGTTTCCCAGGGCGGCCATGGCCATAACAAGATGCCACAGCACCTGGTTTCTTAAACACCAGAAATTGATTGTCTCATAGTTCTGGAGGCTAGAAGTCCAAGATCAAGGTGTCGACAGGGTTGGTTCTTGCTGGGAACTCTGAGGGAGACTCTTCCAGGCCTCTCTCGGAGCTTCTGGTGGTTTGCCGGCCATCTTTGGCATTCCTCGACTTGCAGAAACATCCCACCCTGGTCTCTGTCTTCATCTTCACATGGCATTCTCCGTGTGTCTTCACGTTGTCTTCCCTCTATGCGTGTCTGTCTCTGAGTCCAGATTTCCTCTTTTTATAAGGACACCAGTAATATCAGATTAGGGCCCACCCCAGTGACTTCATTTTAACTTGATTCTCTCTGTAAAAACTCTGTTTCCAAACAAGGCCACATTCTGAGCTAATGGGGGTTTGGCCTTCAACACCTCTTCTTTTGGGAAGGGGGAGACAATTCAACTCATAATAGGTGCTTTGCATATATTAGTTTTCCTTCTTCATCAAAGTTCGTTATCAAATAAGATTAAACGTTCTGCTCAGACCTGGCGCAGAGCAGACTCTCAATGAATATTTGTTGAATAAACGCATGGACGGATCCTAGGTTCCATGGTGTTCTGAGCTCCACAGTTTTCTACCGACCCAAGAAATCTTTCCCCTCTTAAGAAAGTGATTTCAAGATCCTCAGACGAGAATATAAACTTCGTAAGAATAGCTCCAGGCAGACTCAAGAGCTCGGAGCTGATTTCTCTTTGAACATGCTCCGTGCTCTTCCCACAGCCTGAGGAATTGCAGAAAGGTCCTTCATTCCTGGAAATGCTTTCCCCCTTCATAGACAAAGAATGAGTTGTTCTAGCAAAGGCTGAAAACTTCCTCCAGTCGTTTGAAAAAAGGGTCCAATGAGGAACAGGGGCTGTGAGGTGAGATGAGAACATGGCTGTGGGTCACGGGATGGGGGCTCCCACAATCCTCTGCCCTGGGTACCCACTGAGTCAGGAAGCTATAACCAAATGGGGGAATGCCATCTCTTCTTAATTTTTCACCTCTCAGGCCAGGGGGCCCATGAACCTTGAGCCCTTATGTTGTGCTGGAATGTTCCATATCATGTAGCAAAATGACTCAAAGTCCAAACTCTGGAGTTAGGCTTCTGCAGTCTACTCTCGGCTCCTCCACTGCCTCACTGTGTGATCTTGAGCCAGTTACTTAACCTCTGTGCCCCGGCATCCCTGTTGGTAATTTGGGGGTAACAATAGTACCTGCCTTGCGGCACATGTGATGACATATGTAATACACTTCTCATGGCGCATTCAAATCATGTTAGCAATTATTGTTTTATTATATTGTTGTTGAAGACACTGCTGATGCTGAGGCTGACGACGCAGGAGGTGAATTCTGGTACCCAGGTTTTAATAAACTTCCTTATCGATACGATTGAGTAAAATAAGATTAGTCTGTTTTCATCATTCCTGTTAGGGCTTTCCAGAACTCAACCCATCTCTCTCCCCTTGTCTTCTCCCTCCCTTCTTTACCTCCACGTGATCCTCAGTGCTCAGCCATAGATTATTTTACTAATTCCTCCATACATTATAACCTCTGTTTCACGGGTCAGGAAACTGAGACTCAGAGAGGTGAGGAGACTTGTAATTGGTGAAGCTAGAATTCAAGCCGGGTATCTCTGACTCCAAGGCCACAGAATAGGGAGATGAGCAGGATGGGGGTGAGATTTAGTGTCTCCTTGCCATTACTCTCCATCCTAAGGACCTCCCCATAGGACCTGAGCTCAAAGTTCTCCCCCAGATTGGCCTGTCCTGGACAATGCTCTCACTCTGGACCGGCTTCTGCACCCGATCATCAAGGCCGGCCCTCTGCTCTCTATCACACTGAATAGGCCCCAAGAAACTCATTCACCCAAGGGGTCAGTGATTGATGACGAGGCAGCCCGCTAGGACTGGGGACTCTTGTTCAGTAGCACTTCGAATGCTCACGGAGGCCCTGGGAGGTGTGTGGTATCCTCCCCCACTTTATAGGTGAGCAAACTAAGGCTCAGAGAAGTTCTGTAGCTTCCACTGGCCACACACTGGGTCAGAGCTCAGCTTTGAACCTCCGCCTGCCTCCCTGGTTTCTTCCACTCACATCCTTTTGCAGCACTGTCTGTTGCCTCTGCTCCCTCCAGGGCAGCCAGGGCTGATATTTGCCTTTGGTGCTCTCTGTCCCTGTACTGCCAGGGACCAGAAGGTGGTTGGGACCAGCTGGGTTTCAAGGGGGCTGGTAATAGCAATGTCAGGACTTCTTTACCCAGGAGGATGGAGGGCACACTGGTTGGGGGCCAACGTGCAGCACAGCCTGCTGCAGTGCAGGCCAGGACCGGGTGGTGGAAGTCTGCAGGAATGCCATCCCATTTTGATCATTTTCTTTTCTTTTCCCTTAGCACAGACAACAGGTTCTGGAATCCTCAGGCCTCTCTGAGCACCTGACCTCTAGAATTCGGAGGCTCCTGAGGTTAGTTTCCTGTTCTCCCTCAAAAGCCCACAAGCGGTGACCAGCTTCCTGGTTGTTTTGGAACTGTATGCAAAGGAGGCAGCATGATGGAGTAGAAAGAGCCCTGGATTAGTTCCCCAGGGAGCTCTGACAGCGGCTGGCTGTGCAACCTTAGGCAGACGAATTTCCCTCTCTGATCCTCAATCTCCTCATTGGCAAGACGATCTCTACTTCATCAGGTTATCATGAAGATTCAGCTAGATCACATTTATAAGGCAGTGAATGCAGTGCTTGGCCCGTGGGAAGCACTCAGTAAACCTGCGCCCGCCATTGTTATGGAAGCAATGGTGTTGTCATTAACAACCGTAACCTTGGTGAAGAGTTTCTTCTTGGTGGAGGGAACCAGATGAACTAGATGGAAAGGGAGTGGAGGTGAGGGAGGAGAGAATGTTCCCTCCCCATCCTGTTGGCAGCCATCCTCAACTGCACATGCCGGAGGCCAGCTCAGGAAGTGCCGAACAGCTCTCATCACTTACTCCTCCTGGGGAGACAGGCTGTTCTTCAGGCCCACGTGCATGCCCACACACACTCACACACACTCTCTCTCAGCACCAGGACTGAACAAGGCCAGTGGGTGTCTTGGAGTTGCCCTGGAAGTACCTTATAAGAAAAAAAGGAAAACTCAGATTTCAAGAACAGCTAATTGCATACGTACTTATATTTTGGCTTTTCTTTGTGTAAATTCACAGGGGATGTGACCCATGTCCATCGTTCAGGGGCCCAGCAGTGCCCTCGGCTCCTGGCTTCAGGGGTCTTAGGAATAATCCAGTCCTACTAGCTCATTTTGGGGAAAACAAAGCTCAGAGAGGCAAAAAGCCTTACTCAACAACACATACCCAGTGGGCCACGGCCAACCCCTGCGCTCCAGTGGCAGAGTCCGCTTGTCCTTTCCTGACAAAGGTACAATCTCCGTGAAAGAGCATCTCATCTGCAGCTATCATCCTACCAGGAGGAAAGTGGGGGCAAGCAAGGACAACGGACTGTGCTCGGCGATCCCCTCTGAGGTTTCAAGTCTGCTTCCCAATTATGGGGCCTTCGGAAGGAAATAACGTGTCATCTCCCACCTTCCAGGCCCCTGTACCCCTACGGGTCCCCCCAGCTGAGGCCTTACCCTAGAAACCAAGGAAGGTCATCCCCTCCGGCAGAAGCCTCCTCTATGATACGGAGCAGAAATGATCAAGAGAAGACACAAAAGCCCTTCAGGCGACTGTGACTCTCAGGGTGGGGCAGGAAAAGTGGGGTTATTGGAGAGGACGTTGCATTTATGGGGCCTCTTATCTTTATGACAAACACTCAAATGGGAATCAAGATGCAATTATAAAGAAGGTAGCACCCATAAAGATTTGGTTGTAGAGTGTGGGACTGTGCATCAGATGGTCAGCTGGACCCACTGCCGGTGGGGGATGTCCTTGCAACCCTGAGATTCTCTGGGAAGTCAGGGCCTGATGGCACAGAGCTGGGGAATCCTGGGGGCTGCTGGGGGCAATTCCCAGGCCCACCTGGTCCCCTCCAGCCCTCCCCAAATCGACCAACTAAATGTGGGAGTCCCCTGGCAGAATAGGAAGTACCACTGGTCTGTACAAGTTCCCTCCCTCCATCGCTGGAAGCAACTCAAGGGAGACCCAACCCCCCTGGACATTCGGTAAGGTGGGATGGGCACGAGATGGGCAGCCCTGGGGGGAGCACAGGAGGACTTCCGTGGGCTCCAGCATCCCAAGAGGAAAAATGTGTAACAGCCAGAAACATGAACAAACTGCCCCAAACGCACAAAACAAAACAAAACAAAACAAAGAATAAAACCAACTACATAAATTGCAAAAAAGGAGTTCCGGTTCTATTTGTTCTGCGAGAACATCAACATTGCAATACTTTCATCAAGGTATGTAAAGAAAAACCAGGACCAATGGGCTAAGAGGAACAGGAGGCCCCCTTGTAGCCTTCAAGTCATTTGGGCCTCCTCTCCCACCCCAAATAGTTTAGCTGTGCTATACCCTGGACAGGCACAGGCCTATCATCCAAGCACACAGTTCTTGACCCAAGACAGCCGTTCTGGCTTTGGCTTGCGAGTCCGGCTGGCATTTAATCTCCCGAGGGAGCCAGTCTTAGCGCAGAGTCGCTTACCCTGTTCACTGTGAGAGTAATGGGGCCGCAGAGGCGGAAGGCGTTCCAGGGACTGCCTGGTCAGAGGGCACTCAGGCAATGTAAGCGATCTCACCGTGCTTCTGCCCTGTGCAGAAGAGGGTCCTGGACGAGGGCCAATAGCTGGCCTGGCTGCTGGAGTGACAGCAGAAGAGGGTGAGCATCAGGAAGGCCAGGATGATGATGGAGATGAACACCCACTTGGTGATGCCCGGGTAGATAAAGGGCAGGATGAGGGTGATGAGCAAGACCAGTAGGAGCAGCTGTGCTGCCAGGCGCCGGGCCGCCACGCGATTGGCATTTGCCACGTCCTGCCCATCCTCCCCCGCCAAGCTGAGGTGCCCTGCTGCCAAGGTGGCAGGATCCACCAGCCCCTGAGGACAGAGCCGCACCTCCGGGCATGGCCGGTCCAGCAGCCCCATCACGGCCTCCTGGTTACGCAGGCTGCAGATGAGGCCCCCGGGGACAGCGGTGGCCTTGCGGCACAGTGGGCAGGTGATGGACCAGGTGTCATCCTGCACGCACAGCAGGAGCTTCAGGCAGATGGCGCAGAAGGAGTGCTGGCAGCCCAGTAGCTTGGGCAGCCGGACACAGCTATAGGGCTCCCGGCACACCAGGCACTCCAGGTCGCTGTCCCAGGAACCACGATGACCCCCAGCAGAGCCTGTGGCGTTGGTGGTGGTGGCTTCTGTGGAGATGGGCTGGGGCTGCTGCGGGGCTGGCTGCTGCGGGACCTCAGTGCAGGCCATTCTGGGCACAGGAGCCAGAGGGAGGCGGCCGCTCAGGGCCTGGGCATCGACGAGGAGTGGCAGCTGGTGCCGCTGTGACCTAGATGCAGTCTGACCTTAGGCTGGGCATCTGAAGCCTCTTTTTCCTTCTCGTCAGGTGCCTGGTGACAACAGCTGTCTGGCACCACTCTCCCAAGGCTGCTCAGCTGGTTTCTGGGCTTACGTTGTCCCTTCAGTTATTATTATTTCTTTTCTTAAAACCTAGGGTTAATCAGTAACTCGTGGGCCTGGAGACTTTGAATTGCCTGATAGAAGGGCCAACGGGGGCAGGGCTGAGCATGAATCAGGACTTTCTTGTTGGGGCCAGGAGCCTCCTGAGCGCCCGCAGGACTGCGGCTTGGGAGCTTTGGGACATGTTAGAGTCCCCACCACCGCCATCGCTGCCACCCCACCCCTGGAGCCTTTTAAAATGCAGATCTCCAGGCCCCAAACTCTGAGACCGAGATTCGGTAGATCTAGCTGGGGGATCTAAAAATCTGCACGGGTAACAAACATTACCGTGATTCTGACACAGGTGGATTGGGGGACCCCACTTTGAGAAAGGTGGCGTAGGCGGGTGTCAGACAAGACGTTTTGGATGTCAGGATCAGCAGCAAAATGTTTGTCTGTGCTCTGAGCGCATTAGCAAGCAGGTGGCCTTGTGAAGAGAGAAATGAGGGGAAAAGTATTCTGAGTAGAGTGGGGAGACAGCCCAGCCAAACGCAGAAAAACCAAAACCAAAACCAAAACAGCCCCCAGGTGTTTACACCTGCACTGCACTCAGTTCCTCTACTGTCACGACAGTTGTATTAACACGTGCTGATGGACGAGCATCTCACTGGTACCCTGCTGAGCCCTTCAAGTACCTACTAACAGGTGTCATTGGCTGTGCTCGAGGCACACCGCACACCCAATAGGAATCAGAACAGCTGTCATTTATTTGGGCCTACTCTGAGCCAACCTCCGGGCCAGGGGTCCTCATCTGAGATCACCCAACATCCGGGCACAGTGCCGTGAGGAAGGCACTGGAAACAAAGGCAGGGTGTGGTCAGGGCAGGCCTGCTGGCTGTCAGCAAAGGGGCCTTCCATGGCCCCAGGACTTGGCAGAATCTACTGGTGTCCAAGGTCAGGTTCCCAGCGTCGTCAGTCCAACAACTCAGCCTCCTCATTCCGTGCGGAGGCAGTTGCCTTCCAGGCAGCTCCTCCGGGCTAACAGGTTTCACGTGGGACTGACGGATACACGCAGCATGGCGGTTAAGAAAATGGGATCCCCTTAACTGTCCCGGAACATCAGAGGGTAGGGTGGCACCATCCACTCCCTCAAAAGAATGCCTCACTCAGGGGCTGGCCCAGTGGTGCAGTGGTTAGGTTCGCACGTTGCTTCGGCAGCCCGGGGTTCGCCGGTTCGGATCCCAGGTGTGGACATGGCACCGCTTGGAAAGCCATGCTGTGGTAGGTGTCCCACATATAAAGTAGAGGAAGATGGGCATGGATGTTACCTCAGGGCCAGCCTTCCTCAGCAAAAAGAGGAGGATTGGTGCCAGATGTTAGCTTAGGGCTAATCTTCCTCAAAAAAATAAATAAATAAATAAATAAAATGCCTCACTCAGGCCACACTGAACCCAGAAGGATGTGCTGGGCTGTCGTTTGCTGTCACATCAGCTGTTGAGTCCACTCGGAGCCCAGCTATTCTGATTCAGTTCGTCCTTCCTACCCCCCCCCCCC